ACTATGGGAGGTTTTACTGTTGTGCCGATATTGATGGCGCGCTTCGATGATTCTCCTTCCTTCTCTTTCTGCTCTCTTTCCATTGTTCTAATGTATCTCTCTTCTATCTCTCTCCTATATATACGTGCGTTATGTATGAAGTTGTTACACTCTGGAGATGTCAGATGACACAATACACCATCATGCCGACGGGCATAGGCGACACTCTCTAGTTTTGTCGTTACACTCTGGATAACTTGAAGTAGCCTAATAAACATCTTTGCCGAGAGTGGCACAAGCTACTCTAATCAAGTTGTTCGTTACAACTGTATGTATAAGTATATTTTTGGCATGTTGCCAAGATAGCACGAAAAGAAATAGGAAAAACAAAACAGAAAAGACACATGACAATGTACTACTACATCACAATTACATTTGTAATGAAGGAAAGTAATGATGAATATCTTTCAAATAAACTATTGACCTTTCAACAATTAACCATTTCACTTTAGAACAATTGACTCGTGTTGCATCTCTTGCAAAGTTTTCTGTCACATATATCAAGTTATCATAATTTACTTCTAATTTAGTGAGACAAGGTAGAGAAGTTTTAGTACTGTTAAGAAATTGTTCAACATAATCAATCTCAGCATGGCTTATGTTAAGTGATGTAAGATGAGAAAATTCAACAATTGAATATGATTGATAATCTTGAAATTGCAAGTTTTTCCGTTTCCAAAACAAGAATTGTGATGTACAATTTATAACAAAGAACTCCTTGAGCAATGGGAAAGATCGTGCAACTCGAATGAAGAATTCATGTTTAAATGCAACTGAATCAAAGACCTTTAAAAAAGTAACATGATTGAAAGTAATATTTGGAAACGTATTGCCAATCCATTCGAGACAATCAAATGAAAACGGAAGCGAAAAAACATGACATATACTTGTAACAGAGTTGTAATTTAAGATACACCCCACTTCCTGGCATTGTATTTTATTAAACGTTTGTTGAATATCGTTAACAGGTAACTGATGAATTGAATTACCAATATCAATTTTTGTACGTATATAAAATATAAATGTACGAAGTTGTGGCATATGAATAAGAATTTCATTATAAAGATGTGTACCATCCACGAATATAGATCGGTTATAGATACAAAGATACAAAGTTAATTCTTCGAGATGTGACATACGACGAAGAAGAGGTACAACCTGTGCATCATAAGCTTCAATCCGTTTGTATGTTAATGAGAAACACTTCAGATTAGATACATCAACCTAGAAAATACAAATATTTTATAGCAGAAAATTCTTCGAAAATAAACTGGATTTTAAAGGAATTGGCGCTCATACCTCCTCCGGGGGGGGGGGGGGGGGGGGGGGGGGGGGGGGGGGGGGGGGGGGGGGGGGGGGGGGGGGGGGGGGGGGGGGGGGGGGGGGGGGGGG